CCGCCACTCTGCCGCTTCACATTGACGCTCATATACCGCATTCAGGACTCACGCACTTGAATCATCCGTTCGCAGCACAAACGCCCAACCAGTCAGGTTCGTCCCTGTTCAGCAACAATCTTTTATGGAATTCGTGAACGATTCGTCTTTTTCTGCCATTAAGTTTCGTTTCTTCGTTGTTCCACATGGTCTCGAGTCCCTATAAATATTCGAGGAAACCAAAAACCAATTTGATGAACGCGTTCGAAGGTTTCTGATAATCTCTGAACGAGTCATGAGAGACTTTTACGATGACAAAACTGATTTTTTGTGATATTATTAATTTATCGCTCGAGTTATTCGTGCTACTTGGAATCGTCAGGCCTATACAACGACGTTTCAATATGATTAAAATAACTACCTTTATTCGTGAAATCTAGGTATGGAGCACAACGTGCCAGCGGGCTTTCCATTGCCTGGTGCCATTCCTGGATTCCCTGTTGCTTCCTCCTCGGACGAGGTCACCGTGCAGGTCCTCGAGGCTCTCGACGAGAACACCGTTCGACTCGTTTTCACGGTGCCACAGGTTCTAGTTGGACTTCATGGACGCGTCGAGCTGCGATACACCAATGATAAAACGTACTTTATATCAGTATCAAAATTAATCGAAGATTATCCAGAAATTAGAGAAATAAGAAATATTCCTATAAACGTAGGTTATTCCGAGCTTTATTAAAAAGTTAGTAAGTGATAAAAATACGATATACGAGACTAAAATAGGTTTAAAATCGACATAATCATTTGCTACTGGCATCCGATTTCTGTCGATATAAAATTAGCAATAAAAGCTTTATTATCCTACGAAGCTCATTTCAATTTTACTTCGTCTCGATTGTCTTCGTATCAATCAACTCTTTGTATCAATTCATCACACGACATCGACACATGTTGTGCACACGAAGAAATCTAATGGCATAAAATTAGAGACGATATTATTCCGTATTTTTATCGTAACTTTTTAATAGAGTCTTAAATGATCTATGTTATAACATTCTTTGCTTGACTATACTTATAGAATACACAGACAAAGTTTAGCTGTTAAACCCTGCGATATTCTAAATATATACGTATATATACATCTTATATAATATATATATGTATATATATGTACTTTCCTTTTCTATCGCGCAGAAATTTCGATGTATCTACCTGGAAGTCGCAAGTATTTGCGCCACCAAACGACCTGATCGCAACTCCGCAGCTCGAGTTCGAGCTGGGCGATTTGAAGCCTTCTACCGAGTACAAAGTGAAGATCACGGTGAAGCTGAAGGATTTGGCCAACAGTCCCACCAGCAAAATCTACAGCGTGAGAACGCTGGAGAAACGTACGGAAGCGACAACGCTGCCGCCTCAAATACCGATTGACGCTGAGCTCCATGTCACAGAGACAAATTCCACATGGATCAACGTGATGTGGAGACAATTCACGGAATACGAGTCACAATTTATCGACGGCGTTCAGTTAAGATACAAAGACAACGACGCAAAGGTTTACGCCGGAACACCGTTGATCCACAGGGCGGTGAGAAATTACGTGATCGAGAATCTTCGGCCATCGACCGCCTACGAGATCGGAATCCTCTTCGTTCCATTCCCAGGACAATTGACAGAGCTGGTCAACGAGAAAACAGTGAGTATTTATAAAATAAATCGTTAAATAAATTAACGAAACAAAAGATTGAAGTTAATAATAATTGTCATAATAATTGCTATAAGATTAGTTTCATAAGCGTCAAGCTCACCGCTGTACATTCTCTTTTAATATTATCGCCCTGTAATAATAACATCGTAATATTCCCCTGGAAGATTGAAGTGACTACCTCGATGGAGCCGAATCCATACTCGTTCGACGTGAAAGTGGAGATCAAGACGATCAAGTCGACAGGTGTGGAAGTAACTTGGACCGGTGTACCTTATCCGGAAGACAAGTACGTGAATATTTATCGAGCGATTTATCAAAGTGACAGTGGCAAGGAAGACACAAGCACGTTCAAGATCGCCAAGAGCGACTTGCATCCGAAAACGGTGATCAGCGATCTTAAGCCGGGTACCAGGTATCGTTTGTGGCTCGAAGTTTACCTGACAAACGGAAGAATAAAAAAGAGCAACGTGCAAGATTTCGTCACTAAACCCGGTGTACTTTTGCCGGCCACGGTATCGCAACAAGGTACACGTATAATTAAAAAATTAAATAAAACTGGAAATAACAGTGATTCTAACGTAAAACTGAACGTTCCGATTTTTCAGCGGGGAAACTTGCATCGTTGCCCCTTCACGAGGGCGATTATTACGGGCCTTTGGTAGTGGTAGCTATCGTCGCATCTCTCGCTATCCTATCGACCCTGATCCTCTTAATGATGCTCATGAAAAGGAGAACTAGCAGTAAGGCTGACATATCTTCCCGTAAAAGCACGTCGGCGTACGACAATCCTTCCTACAAGGTAGAATTACAACAAGAGACTATGGGTAATTCACTCTCATTGTTTTAATACGATAATCGTGGACAGTTTTACTGTCATTCGTAACATTCGTCATCCGTGCGTTCTAATGCCAATTGCCGACAAGCAATCAAGCTTTTATAAATTTCCAGACCTGTGAAGACATCGTTACGATATCGAACGGTAGGAACAAAAACACGGACCACGAAATGGCCACCATCAACGGCAACGTCAAAGAAACCATTTAAGGTTCTATAATTTATTATGTTTTATTTATTTATATGTTCGTTCGGTTTTTCCGGCATCGTCGAAGGTGGTTTTCGATTGAAAAAAACGATCGATATAATGGAAGGTGAAGTACGAAGAACGAACATCACCAAGTACCTACGATGATTAAAAATAATATACGTATACTTGTACGTATACTCGTGTACGTATTTTGAAGTTCTGATAAAAGGAAAGTTACAACTCCTTCATCGCACCGATCATTTAATATGATTCGATCAGTAGAATTGCGCACGTTGTATTAAAATTTGTACATAGCGGGGTCAAGTATCATTTTGATATGATAAGATAGCGATTTAAGAAAAAGTGAAAATATCGTTTAGATAGTTACGAAAACAAAGTCGATTTGTTTTGTAATATTTTCCTATATATACATTACCGATTGAAAAATATGCTTTCTACTTATTTAATATAAACACTTAAGTCGTAATTTCGTTGGGTTCCAACGATCAAACCGCGTCTTGTACAGTCTACATTTATATTGTTAGAGATCTATATAATAAATAAGGTGTACTATGTCGTATAGAAATGTTAAAACGTTAAATGAATAAAACTGTTTGTAAACTATGGAGAAAACTATTTATTTGTATATCGTTTCATATATATGTATAATGTCTTAAATCTTAAGAAAAAATTCAATCTCATTGTATAGGAACAATTTTTATTTTTATTGATAATGCAAAGGATGTCAAAAATATTACAATATATGACAAAACTATTGCTGATAATTAAAACTGAATTAAGAAAGCAATAGTATAAGGGAACTTAGAAATACTTCTTCAATTCTGATTCCATTTCAAGAGGACTGGTAGTTGGTGCATGTCTGGCAACAACTTGTCCTTCTTTGTTAATGATGAATTTAGTGAAGTTCCATTTGATGCTATCAGTTATAAATCCACCTGCCTGTGTCTTCAACCATTTCCATAACGGATGCGCATTATCTCCATTAACATCGATTTTTTGAAACAGATCAAAAGTAACGTTATATTTTTTGACGAAATTTAAGATTTCTGTGGAATTGCCTGGTTCTTGGCCACCAAATTGATTCGATGGGAATGCTAGAATCCTTAAACCTTCCACCTTACTGTACTTTTCATACAATTGTACTAGTTCTTTATAATGTGTATCTGTAAATCCACAGTTGCTGGCAACATTAACAATTATACAAACATGCCCATGATATTTATTCAGCATAACTTCCTTTCCATGTATATCTGTAGCATGAAAGTCATAAATGGAAGTAGCTGATTCCCAATCTTTGTCTTGATTAAAAGAAGCTGAAGTTGTAGCACTACATTGTTCTTCTTTATTGTCTTCGCAATTCTGTGCTATCACTCCGTAAAAGCATAGAACTGTTAAAAATACCAATTCTACAAAAAAAGAAAGAAACTTGATTAGTAAGTTATCTAAAGAATCTAAAAAATTATTATAAAAAATAGCAGTGATTATTATCTGTAAAAATTATTATAAAAAACAGCACTGTTCAGTTAACGTTTCTTAATATATTTTTTAATAAATATCTACCATTTCTTAAAATTAAAACTGATTTCAAACTACCTTAAAAAGCCAAAACAAAAGGAAATAAACAAATTCACGCGACTCTGTGTCTTCTACGCTACATAACACCTAATCAAATATCTCGAAATGTTCACTAAGTATCATTAAATTAGCATTAAAAGGTTAATCTTCAACGTTATTTCTAATCAAAATATTCAAGATGATATTAAAACAATACTACTTACTCTGCATTTTTAATCAAATGTTGTTATCCCGTATCCAGACTTGAATAAAAAAGAAACTTTCTTATTAATCTTTATCATATTATCGTATTAAATATTATCCTAAAAATATTTAAAACACAATTGAAAATATTAATATATTTTACCTTATCACTATTGTTCGATGGAAGTGTCCGTGCTCTTCAACGCTTTGAACACAAATGCGCCGATCTTTCCTTTGTCTAAAGTCTAGAATTCTTAAGAAACTCGAACTTGAAACACACGAACACACTGACGTCTGTCCAGTTCTGTTCTTGAATACATACATACTATACAGCATCGTGGATTCTGGAATGCTAATAGAATAAAACAACGAAATTTTATTCTGCATTCATTATCCATCTCAGAACATATTATGCAACTATAATATTTAGTTCAACATAGACGATTTCCATGAACAATCAATGACAGTAGTAATATTGCACCTATAATTGTTTCATATTATATATTGCTTTTTTACGAATTAACGGCAAAATATTACAATTACACAATTATTTTAAATCTCTAATTCTACTAAAACAATCATAAACAAAAATAGAAATTATGATTAAGACTTAATGATTTTTCTTTTTCTCTATTATGAGTTAGACGGGCACATGTATAAATATATATATATATACATATAATAAAAAACTGCGTCATTTAATATCAAAAGGTTTTGTTGATTTATTTTGTTCCATGCTCACGAATACTACTTTACGTGCACGTGATAAACTCGTTGTTGTGTATACGATAACATAACCTTAAAGATACAACAGAATCGTAACCTATAAACTACGATCACATAAACGTTTAAATGATCGTGCTGTACACTATACTTTGTCATTTGTCATCGACTATAAAATAAAATTAAATTTATCGTTGTTATAATACATAACGTAAGAAGATGGGGCAATAACATTGTTCAAGACATTCTAAACAAACATAAATTTACTTGGAAAAACTTACAGATTATACATATCTTAGTATTTGGACAGTACTAAATTGTTTTATTGAACATCGTTACTTATATAAAAAATGGTAAGTGTAGTAAACGTTATTACATATTACAAGAAATTAATTATATTCTTTTAATATACTTAATTAATGTTATTTCTTTCAGGCGCGAAACGCGGAAAAGGCTATGTAAGTATCATAAAAAGAAGACATTTGCTTGAATATAATTTATAAATTCTTCTGTTTTTTATATTTATTTAAACATTTGTTCTTTAACAGGACCACTCTTGCTCGGTGGAGAGCTGCACAAAGCAACGAAGGAGCCAGAAAGGAACAGGAAAGAAGACCATATTTAGCTTCTGAATGTAGAGACTTGCGAAAAGCAGAAAAGTGGAGAATGCAAATAATTAGAGAAATTGCGAAAAAGGTTGCACAGATTCAAAATGCTGGTCTAGGGGAATTTCGAATTCGAGATTTAAATGATGAGATTAACAAATTGTTGAGAGAAAAACGACACTGGGAGGCTCAGATAAAAGAGTTAGGTGGGCCTGATTATTCCAGAGTGGGACCACGTATGCTAGACCACGAAGGTCGTGAGGTATAACGTGTTTTTAATCTTGCTACATTGCTCTATTTTTAATAATAATAAATAGTAAGTAATAGAAAAAGGTAACAGGCAATTATTACGACATTTAGGTTCCTGGAAACCGTGGTTACAAATATTTTGGAGCAGCGAAAGAACTACCAGGTGTTAGAGAATTATTTGAACAAGAACCACCGCCTCCACCTCGTAAAACGCGCGCTGAGTTAATGAAGGACATCGATGCTGATTATTATGGTTACAGAGACGACGATGATGGAATTTTGTCGCCTTTGGAACAGAAAGCTGAACAGGAAGCAAGGGAAAAAGCAATGCAGGAATGGCTAACACAAAACGAGAAACAGCCAGAAATAGAAGAAGAAATCGAAACAACTGCACAAAAAGCAATACCATCGCAACAAGATATTCAGGAAGCGTTACTTGCAAGAAAAAAACAAGAACTATTAGAGAAATATGTACTTTGACAAATTTTATTTCTTTTTCTTTATGTATTCAGTAACAACTATTTGTAAGTTTATTCGTTTAATTGTATTAGAGTACACTTTTATAAAACGCGACAGATATAATATAATTATTATTAATTTAATAACATTGATTAAGGTAATTATTTTGTGCAGTAGACGTTCAAACTTCAATTAATTCTTATCGAGAAAGAGTGCTGTAGATAAAATATAGATAAAAATCCAACGTTAGTCTGTTTATAATCCTCGCGATCTTTAAAGACTTTTCTTTTTGTTTTATATATATATACCCTTTTTTATCGACTTTGTAAGCACTGGACACTCGAGAAAGCGACACAATAGAATAGAACATCAGAGAACAAGACAATATGAATTATCGAAATGTGAGAATTTGTTCACCTCATACATTCATAATTGCCAAACATTGTTGGACAAATAAAATTCAATAACTTCGTACACTCTGTTTGTCTAATCAATGCCTTAAATGTCTTTGGCCAAGCATTCTTTGTTTCATCGCCATTGAATCATCCCGCGAAAAGCTAGTCATTTGCTTTAAAATAGTTCGATGCAATTACAACTATATTGTAACAAATTGAGAACAATTAAAGGCATAGAAATTACCCTGAAAAACTTCTACTCGTTAATTAAGTGTACATATCGATCATAAATATTTCAAAAACATTCTGTTCTTGTTCGCATCGGGTTCGACCCATCCGCGATGAGAGACCGAGGACTCTCTTTCTACATCATTTTCACGCAAATCTCTGATCCTCGTAGTTAATATCGTGTTGCTTATAAACAGACTGTACAATATACAATTATGTTACCAAGACTCAGAAGTGAAGAAAGTATCCTAAGAACGTTAGCTAAAATCCCGGTACGCTTAAAACTTTTCTCAAAGTAGAGAATAATTCTATCGCTTGCTTTCACGCTACGCATCTTCCTCGCTGTTGCTTTCTCTTCTCGCTTCCTGAAAACGCTAGAAATTGGATGAGATGCACTAACAAACGCACATAACTACGATATTATCGATTATCGATGATTATGCTAAATCCGAAAGCGCTAAAAGTACTTCTTTAAAACTGCGTTTGAGAAGAGCATTGTAAAAAGAACGTCTGTACATTTGATACGAGAAAATTCATGCACATACGTAGTAAACAAACGAAAAAGAAACTTCTGAGTCCTTGCAATCGCGTTATACATTGTCTAAATACGTAAAACGGGAGAATAGTTCGAGCATGGATTAATCATCGTTAATCACCTAAACGCTAAGCTTGAAAAAGTCAAGCGTTAAACGATTCACAGCATCTGGTAATTTTTTTATCCATTAATCAGTCGCCTGCTTCGTCCGGTATCCAATTCCCTCTAATATAAACGCGTGGAAAAAACATTTCTACATAACCTATCGTACTCACACGATAATGTATACTACTAGTTTAATAGTAATATCAACTCTACGATCACATCTGCGTTTACGAGGTGCGCTTTGCGAGTTTATTGTGCGTCGTTTAATTGTGAATCTGTCCTCGTATACGTTCCCCTTTATATCCCATCGATTAACTATAACCCCTCGACGCTACTAATTGATTAACCGATATCCTGTATACACGAAACGTTCGTAAAGTTAGGATACGTAAATATACGTAAGTATATATATAATAAATAAAAGCACGTTGTTACACGTATCAAGAATACGACAAGGAATTATGAAACTTCGCAACGTGCTTTACTGATAATATCAAATATGTATTACTAAATTAAGGATATACGTATATATATATGTATAAATAATAGTACGCAGAAAAGAGAAACGAACAAACGAAGCCAGAGTATGTAGGAAATTAGAAAAATTGTGTACAGCCTTGACTTTCTCTCGAAACATTATTCGTTGCCCCAGTACTCCACGCAGTAAGGGGTTAATTCGTTTCGCGCGTCAATCCATTCTCGAACCATGTGATCGAAACAACAAGATTCGTGGCATCGATTCGAACGAACAAGCACTGCAAATCGAATATTCCGCTGAAAGTGTCGCGGAGCGAGAGAGGAAAAATTACGTTTGCTTAGTTAGCTCGTCCAAAGGAGAACGGCTAGAGGATCGCGGTTCATAATGGGCTCTCGACTTGGCTAGGTATCCCACGACGATTCTCCGTCGACGGACACGCGGCCTAAAAAGGGTGAAAGGCACAAAGTAAAAAATAAACGATTAAAGTTGGCTCAGGCACATATCGAATCGAAGTCGTTTTCGCGGTCCATCTGCTAATGTATTATACGTTCGACTTTTGGGACCGACAAAATGCGTGTTTGCATATTTGTAACGTGTACGTATGTGTGCACGTGTAATTGAAATATGTTTTACGTATATGTAAGTAGGTAAACGTGTATATACATATACGTGTACGTGTGCGTATGGATCATGTATGTGTTATGCGTTTACGTTCTTTCTTTGTTTGCATATGTAATATACATACGTAATATGTATGTTGAAAACACCCTCAACTCCGTCCGGCGTATCAAAAAGGAATGTACTTGGTACATCGATAGAGTTTTGAACTCAGAGTTACCACGTGCTAAAATTATGATAGCTCTGATTCGCAGGATCAACAGATCGACATATTGACTTCTGTGTTCTGTTCGGGCAGTACAGGCTTTATCTCCAATAAAGAACAGCCGCGTTCGTCTTGAAAAATTCACTTGCTCTTCTACACGATCAGTCGTATATAACGGTACGCAATCGAGGACCGTAATCTGCACCGTGTTCTATCTGTCAAACCATATCGTTATCGTTAACAACATCGTAAAATGTATTTCCGTTGCAGGAACTCTTTCGTGATCGGATGTTTCAAGGACGCAGCAACGAGTGCCAGCGTTGAACTTGCGCCGGTTGTCTTGCTGCGCGCATATCGTTCCAATGTTGAAGCTCCTCCGTACCGGAACTGTTTAATCCCAAACTCAGCCAACCGATCATTTCTCTTCCCTTTCTTCCCATTCCGCCTCTTCGTCGATTATAAACCGATAGAAAGAGAGTTACATCTCCAAGTTGAAACAGAGCAACCTAAACAGCCATTACGAGTATAACATTTAGTCAGATTCGTTTCAAAAGGAGGAGAGAATATCTGTTTGAATAATTTTCCATCGAATTGAATTATTTGATTAGCTGTAAGCTTACTTGGAATATAAATGTTTCCTTGTACAGGGGATTCGGCTGAGCCCGTTTCAGACCAGTTTTCGATCGTTCCATTTCGTGACCGTTGCTATCCATGAGAGCGAGCTTAACATACGTGTCGGGTGGTTTCGTGTCGTTCCCGCCGCCACCCCGAAAATGAGATCCTTTAATTATTTCTACCGATAAACGTCCAGTCGTCCCGTTATACGCCAAGCCTATTAAAATTTCTGCCACGCTTCCGCCCTTCATACTACTGCCGTAAGGAGGTACAGTATGCGACGCGTAAGTTGGCACACGTGCAGTAGGTGATGCGTATGATTGAACTGATTGCTGTGATCCCGTGGAATCGCTACGAGTCAAACTACTAGTTGTTCCCCAATCTTGTACCTGCGAAAATCACGTTCATTCTACCGTTATTTTCTTCGACATTGAGGATCGGAAAAAAATACAACAACTTATTGCATATAGATGTTTTACCGAAGAAAAAGGTGGAGGTTGTAGCGTTAACCAAAGCGTAGTTTCAAGCTGAAGATTGATCTGATCGAAGGAGACTCTAGCCTCGCCTAGTAATCTCTCTCGTCGCATTCTTCCGCCCCATAGATACACTCTTAGGCGTACGCCCATGGCGTTTACGTCCTCTGGATTAACACGTGGAAGCAGAAAACTCTCCATGTACTGTGGAGACGTACCCTGGCGTACTCGAGTTTTACGGCGCTGCTTCTTCGATGGTAACAGCACGAGCCGCACTTGACTACCGCCTATACCTTCGGGATAATTTCGTCCTTGCAGCACATGAACCTACAAAATAAGGAAACTCGTTGGTTTCGATTGAATCGTAAACGAATTTTCCAATGAAATTTATACGAACCGTCATCTCACGCATCGGTGCATCATATAGGAAAGCGACTTCCAAGCTACCCACTTCTTCGGTGATGGTACCCATCGTTGTAATAACGTCGTTGGTAGTCGAACCATTTTGCTCGACCTCTACCTCTTGTTCTCTGTTATCGAGAATAATACCAGAGGCCCCGACTTCTACCACACACTGTGTATCAAACGAAATCATTCGATTCGTTTAAAAAAAGTTCATTTTAAAAGCATACCGAATTAGATGACTCCAAGTATCGTGCTAATGCAAAGAATAGGTCATCAACAACGATATTATGCGGTTAGAACGTTGCGTGATAAAATACGCACGGATATCCGGCCACCGGTTAATTATATACGCGACAATCGTGTAGATTGGGAACGCGATATTCGATCGCGCAACATGACAACGCCGTTTTAACTATAAACGTTTTATTCTCATTCACCTGTTGTTGATCGCTGGGCGAGTGTTCTTCCGTGCAGCTGCTGGAGGTAGTGCCGGCATCTGAAACGGCGATACACGGTCGATCAGGAACGAACGCAAACTTAATGAAAGAGAACATAAAGAAAAAAAATGGATAAAGGAAAAACTAACCCAGAATGGTCGGTCCATCCTCCGCTTGGATAGTCAAAGTATCCGGCGGTGGATGAGTATGCGAATTCAGTCGACGAAGGACGTCCTCTTCCGAATCGGAACTAGTCTCTGGATCCGAATAGGAAAATGCCTTCCCTGCCGAGTTTCAACATTAAACCCAACTTTCGGTTAGGTTCGTTTAATTTCAGGTACAAAGTAGCTGATAACGATCTTTGAAAGGACTGGAAGCGGGGATCACATATAGAAAAATCGCGCCTGCTTCTGGATCGGTATTATGTGTGTACTTTTCCAGCAATTTCAAAGTAAGCAGTAGAAAGCACAGGATCAGATCGTTCGTCGACAACCTACCTATGTTTTTCGTAATCTGTGAGGTGGAGCCGTTGTTAGGCTCGCAGAGGGGCACGCAAACGCCACCGAAAAGAGTGGTCGTGGATGGTGGAGTGAAGCACCATTTGCGTGACAAGTACAAGAACAGAGCCAACAGGAGGACCACGAAGCCAGCTACGGCACCCAGAAATGCTGTCGCTTCCACAGGTACTGTAATGTCAATCGATCGTGAGAATGACTGGTTGGAACAAACTACTGGTCGTGTATATTATTTATCGTCATACGAATGATCGATCATAAATGAAAACGAGCTAATAGAGGGAAGGGAAACGAGATGGGAAAAAAAAAAAAAAAAAAAAAAAAAAGGAAGAACGCGATGGAACGGACCGGACGGAAGGTTCCGTGCAAAAAGCATGATCAAAAAGGGTACAGGCAAAGCATAAGTTATTTATTGACCACGGAGAAAAGGCGTTCACCCATACACCGATTAAATCTTTCTCTTGAACGGCGGTCGTACGTGTCATTGATGTATCGAACGCGTTAAAACAGCAGCGACACATTACGTCGTAATGACCTGGAATAATTAACCATCGCTCGTCTTATCGCGGAAACCACTGCGCGATATTACACACCGAGTACGGTTAATGAATCGCGGTACAAAGATCTATCGAAATCCTTTGCATCCGTCTTCTTTCGTCGAAGATATCGTTGAAATATCGTCGTAAACGGAGACAAATGCTAACTAAAATTGTTAATTTCCGTCAACTATCAACGATAACTTGGATATAACAATATTACCACACATTCAACTATAAAGAATCGACAGAATTGTTACTCGTTGTAATTCAGTAAAAGATCGAGAGCGAAAAGAAAACTGTAGGAGAGGGAACGTTATTCAAAACGAATGTATTTCGAAATAATTTTAATTTGCGCAATGCGGAAACCGTGGCATGCATTTACGTTCTAATCATTCTCGATTAATCAAAAAGAACGACGTATGTAGAACATTTTATGTAAGAACCTGGTAATGTGTCAAGGGATTACTGTCACGTCACACGAATTAGTTTTATTGGAAATTGTTGAATGATTCGAGAAACTATTAGAAGCATCGTGATGTATTTAGATGGCGAAAAAACGTAGAAATGGGTGCGTGCTCTATTCAGGTTTTAATAACTCTATCACGATCGAACGTTGTTCGTTAACGAATCGATTCACGATCACCGATATTTTGAGGTCAATGTTTCCGTATCGAAGTGTACCAGGTCACATCTGAACAGTTGAATTCGTTAAAAGAGTTATAGACAAAGTAGAAGATAGTGGACTTACCCGCCAGAAAATGGTCTGATCCTGCCAGAATCATGCTCGCCCTTGTGTCACATTAAAACCTTCTTACGTGGTTCTGTCGACAGGCCGCGACAAATCTTCCGCGAATAATAAATTCATTATCCACTCGATGTGGAATTGTCCAATACTCGTGGTTGTTCACGATCACCGAGAAGCGTGGTTACAAGACAGTCGAATAATAATACGTGGGCGGGGATGTACACAGCACTCTGTTGCTCGTCGAGTCGTGCGCCTGCAATACTGTGACCAGCTATACGCATGCGCTTCATGGGCACGCATTCTTACGGTGAAAATTTCTTTCAACAGAGATTCTCATTTTAACACAATTTGCACTTCTTTGACATGAAGTTCGCAATTCAATTTTTGTACGCAGTACAATCTTTCATTCTGAGAATATACTTATTGATTATTTTATTATACGATAATTATACAACTACCTTCTGCTTAATTAACAAAAGATAGTATATTTTCCGATGATATATATATATATACACATACCATTAGATGAAATGGACTGAGATTCTAAATTTTATCTTTTTCTTTTGTCAGATTTTATTCCTTTGCATTTATCTCTTACTCGTTAAATAAATATTCTCATCTATCGTATTCCTAATCATTTAACCGTAATGATCCGATCATATTTGCATACATCATTTGAGAAATAAGTTAATTAAAGAACTGAAATTATTGATTGTAAATAAACGACCACATCATTTACGAATAGAAAAATTAATTAAAAAAATCGTAAAAAATATTGAATATTACACAATGTACAGAATAATATAAAGTAAAGTAATACCAAGTACGTGCGTATTTCTCATAGTATAAGGTACTCTACTGTTATTATTTTAATATAAGAATTTAAGCGTGAATATTGAAAAACGATTATGGTTCTCGTTATTGATAATCAATGTTTTATAAACATATCATAAATTCATCTGTTTAAAAAATAGAAACTATTTTCTTTGTTATTATGTACATTTTTAAATAACTGACGCATGCATTTCATTTCATTAGTTAAAATAGTATTGGCACGAAACTCCCTCCTCGTAAAACCTACTACGATTTCATAGTGTTTACGATTCACTAACTTAATTTTAACTGATATGAATATTATTCAAGCGGTTATAACTAACTCAACTTATCTTTGAAATGGAACAATTAAGAATAAAAATGATAATGTTAATGTAAATGTAGCTAGTTTCTTTTTATTTTTACAAAAACGATAGTTTTTTCTTTTCCGTTATATTAGAAGGCAAAAGATATTTAACTTAATACAGGTAAGCTTTATGTATAGTGGAACAACATAACCTCAAGTATGAAATCTCTTTTTCATAAAACCATATAATACATTTTTTTACTATAAAGTTTTTGTAATTATTAAGCTGAATCACGTTTATTGCATAACAGTTCATAATAAATATATTACTAATTTAATAATTACTAATTAATTTAATAGATACTATAATCAGAAGATATTATTTTCTTTCTTAATAACTCGTTTTTAAATAATATTAAATTTTGTAGAAAATAATATTTTTACATTAGAAATTCACTTGATACATGTTCTATGTAATGCATAATTTTCATATATATTGTAATGAAATACAAGTAAACATAAAAATATGACCAATGACTATATGCTGATACTATTTACTATCATTGCCTTTACCATTGTATTGTTTTAAAAACAGGAATAATCAATTATGAACCAATTTACGATACTATGCTTCAAACAATCTACAATTTCAAGTAGATACTGGTTAGAAAGATGTTTGAGCCAATATTTGGTGTATCATGCAAGAGTATATTCTAATGGAATTAATAATCATAAAAATTACATTGTCAAAAAGGAAAATATCAGTAAGAAAAAAGCATTAAGGTTACAGATACTGCAAGATATTAAACAAACTAAACGGAAAGTAGAAGTAATTATTGACAAAGAAAACATTTGGACTGTACCAAATATTCTTTGTATGGGACGAATTGTAACATCGCCATATTTAAGTTACTTAATTTTGTCACAAGATTACCAGGTAAAACGTTATAATTAAATGCATATTTATTCATTATATTCATTATATATATTATTTGTTCATACATTATAGATAGCATTATGGCTATTAATAATTGCTGGGTTTAGTGATTTAGCTGATGGATGGATTGCACGTACATGGACATCACAAGCTTCTAAGCTTGGCACTTTTTTAGATCCTGCTGCAGATAAGCTACTAGTAGGTACTCTGTTCCTATCTTTGGCCTGGGTAGGATTGGTTCCTATTCCTTTAACATGTCTTGTCATTGCAAGAGATGTTGCCTTGGTTTCAGCTGTTTCTTACATAAGATACCAATCTTTACCTCCTCCAGTATGTATAGATTATAACATTATGAACAGAAAAATATTTAAATGATCATGCTTATTTACAAAATATGTTTCAGAAAACTTTGGCCAGATATTTTGATCCTACATATGCAACAGTACAATTAGCTCCAACATATATAAGTAAAATTAATACTGCTATTCAGTTGTCGTTTGTTGCTGGAACACTAGCTGCACCCATATTTCATTTTGTAAATCATCCAGCTTTAGAAATTTTTTGTTATGTAACGGCGGTAACAACATTAGCAGGAGGTGTAAGTTATTTAATATCAAAAAATACATACAAATTCGTAAGGAAAAAGACTTCAACAAAATCATCTAATTAAATACATGTATTAATGATTACAATAACATCATTTATTGTTTCTAAATTTATTATTTACTTTGTATAATAGACGTTATTTAAATATCTACTATGTATACAACTCAAATTAATAAAAACTTTGTTTTTATTTTATAATTCCTCTGTAAAAAGAGATTACAACTTGGCCTTTAAGTCTTGTACGTTATATGTTTCGTATGCAAATTCTTCGAAATTACTTGTATTGTAACAAACTCCAATATAATCAATTTCTAATTTGAAAGGCCCTGGCTTTTTATCAGCAATTGTAATTCCAAAATGTGTAAGGTAATTCTGACACATAGCATATTGATTTTCATTAATTTGTCCTTTTGTACCAAATACAAATTTTGAAAAAGGGACTCTAATTATTTGCCAATACGGGCCACCTCTTGTATACATTACATAATGATAACAATTATATTGCGTTATGTCCAGTCTTCCTTTTTGTAAAATATTTAACATGTAACATCTACCATCTCCTCTAACTCGTAAAACAACTTCATTATAATGTTCCCAATTATAGTAGTACTTTCGAGCAAAAGATTTATATCTTGGAGCTGAAGTGATATTGCAGTATCCAGCATTTGTAGTTCGACCGTCTTTGGATACACGAGTATCTAATATACCATGGAATACTCCAGTGCCATAAGACGACAGTTCTAGTCTAAAATTAGTAGACATTTTATCAATTAGTCTAAACCTTTCCAAGACGTAACAGCATAAAAAATATTGTATAGTTACGTAGCAGTTGAATAACCATGATGATAGTCCTTGTCAGAATTTACAATCCATTGATCCAAGGATTTTTGAGTTCCATCAAACTTCCATACAGCATTAATTTCATTTGCTGCAAAATTACATGGGTATATACTGTAGTTATCCCATATTTCTCGAATAAATAATTTACAGTTACTCTTAAATAAATCATAAGATTTCCGTAATTTCTGTAAAGAGGTCAAATTTTCCTGTTTATCAATAGGTTTATCGTATACTACCGGATATTGTGATCTAAATGGTTCATAAAACGTTCTTTTAATGATCAGAGTATTCCTACAATGAGGTTTTAGTATACGAAAAATACTATTTTTCATGTTTTCGTTTTCACAATTAAATTGAAATAGCAACTTCGTTAATCATCATAGAATTCACGTGTATTAAATATACAACAATTTCAATCAATGTGTCGCAGAATTTGTACAACTACATATTATATCATAACACGTAACTATAGCTTTCAGTTTAATTAAAGATCAATTTGTAATATTTCTTCTCCTTTCTTGTTTTTATAGCCGTTAAATTTTAATTCTAATTTTGATGGATACTACAAGTACCTTAATTTTTTGTAACTATTTCGACAAAAAATATAGTAATTTGATAGTACATATCATTTACTATAAATTACGAAAATGTAGTGAAATTTGACAAATTTTATCAGAAAGGAAATATCAGTATTTCTTAATAAGATAAAATATAATCATATATTGCAGTTAATAAAAAAGTCACTATGATAGAATCTTTTCTTATTAAATGATGGCGGTTATGACTACATTGAAGCTTTGGAACCAATGAAAGCAAATTCAATATAAGAATGGTGCTGTTTAGGCATAGTAAGTTATTAAACAATAGAAATTTAAGTTTTTTACGTTTGAAAAGTCATAACAAAAATGAAAATACATTTCAAGTTAAATTTATGTCGAGCAATACTGTAGAAAACATACATATAGAGTTATCTAATGGGTAAATATATCACGTGTTTCTTAACCTAAACGTTAATACTTATTATGATATTTCATCTTATGTATAAATAATACAGTAATATAATAGAGAAAATATAAGTTATTTAAATAAAATATATTGTTACGTGTTTTATTGTTCCATATTTATTATTAATTCTTTCAAATATTCCTTCAGATCAGAAATTATACTATCAAGTGGGAAATATGCACGATTTACATCTGGGTGTGTTACTGCTACGCTTGGCGATACATCAGTCATGACTACTGTGGTTAGGAAAAATGAACCATGCAATGATTCTGTAATTCCATTAACTGTGAACTACAGACAAAAAGCTTCTGCAATTGGACGTATACCAACAAATTTTCTTCGTAGAGAAATAGGTTACACAGATCACGAGATCCTTATTAGCAGAATAATAGATAGATCTGTACGTCCCTTATTTCAGCCAGAATACTGCTATGAAACACAAATAGTATGTAATTTATTAGCTATTGATGGAATTAATAATCCAGATATATTATCCATTAATGCTGCCTCTGCAGCTTTAAGTATTTCGGATATTCCATGGATGGGACCTGTAGCAGCTGTAAGAGTTGGTTTAATTGACGATACATATATAATTAATCCTACAAAACGTGATCTTCAGAAAAGTAAATTAAATCTTGTACTGTCATCTATGTCCAAGAATTTAATTGTCATGATAGAAGGATCGGCAGATAATATTTTAGAGCCAGAACTTCGAAAAGCAATAAAAATAGGTGTTAAAGAATGTCAAATAATTATACAATCTATAAAAAAATTACAAAATCATGTTGGCAAACCTAAATTACAAATTAACAAAGGCAGTGAATTAAACAATGATGTGGAAGAGTTTGTAAAAAATTTTGCAGAGCATGAAATACGTGAAATTTTTAGTTGTCATTCTCATGACAAAATTTCGCGAGACGCTGCTATTTTTGATCTTAGAGATAGGATGTTAGAAAGTATAACAAATCGTGGTTCAGATTTTATCCAAAATGCTGTAAAAGCTTTTAATAAAATTTCTAAGAAAAATTTCAGATCTTTAATATTTGAAACAGATATAAGGTAGTTTTTGTTTATAAAAAAGAAATCTAATTACGATTATAAATTACTGAAAATTATTGAATGTGTGTAAATAATTTTAGATGTGACGGTCGTGCAATAAATGAGTTGAGAGATATAGAATGCCAGGTTGATTTATTTCGGCCTCTTCACGGCTCAGCCTTCTTTCAACGAGGACAAACTCAAGTTTTATGCACAGTAACTCTTGACAGTATAGAAAGTTCTCTTAAATTAGATAATATCTCAATGCTATCTAGGTATGTTATATTACATTTATTAATATTTTAAAAATATATATTCAATATAAATAAATATTATTTTTTGCAGTGGTATAAAAGAAAAAAACTTCTTTTTGCATTACGAATTTCCACCATATGCTGTAAACGAAACAGGTAAACTTACTGGATATGATCGTAGAGAAATTGGTCATGGAGCATTAGCAGAGAGAGGATTGCGAGCGGTTATACCAAAAGATTATCCATTTGCTATAAGATTAACAAGCGAAGTATTAGAATCTAATGGTGACTTGCTTAAATAAGAAAGAAATTATTACTTGTTGAATAGATAACTTGTAACTTAAATACTTTCGTGTTTCACTTAAAGGCTCGTCTTCTATGGCTTCTATTTGTGGTGGTAGTCTAGCATTAATGGATGCAGGTGTGCCAATATCATCTCCTGTTGTTGGTGTAGCTATGGGATTAATATGTAATCCTCATGCTATTGAGTTAACGGATGACGATTACAAGATTTTAACTGATATATCAGTAATTTCATATTGATTAACATTTGAATGTAGTTAAAAATGAAATTAATTAATTTTTTATTTCTTATACGACCAGGGTATAGAAGATCATTTTGGAGACATGGATTTTAAAATTGCGGGTACAAAAAAAGGGTTTACAGCTTTACAAGCTGATATAAAAATAGCGGGAGTCCCTTTAAAAGTGATAATGAGAGCTATCGAAAACTCAAGTGCGGCTAAAAGTCAAATTCTTCATATCATGAATTCAGTAATATCTACTCCAGCAAGTAACAAGAAAGAAAATAAACCTATACTTGATACCATAGAAGTACCCATTCATCAAAGGGGAAAATTTCTTGGGATCGGTGGCTCGAACATAAAAAGAATTTTATGTGAAACTGGAGTTAATGTAAATTTAAAGAGGAAATAGAAACTTTAAAGATTCATTTTTGACAAAAGTTAATTTATTATTTTTTTTTTTTATAGATACATTCGCTAGACGATACAGTGTTTTCTTTATTTGCACCTAATCAAAATGCAATGAATGAAGCCAAAGAAATGATAAATGATATTATACAAAAAGATGTGGAACCAGTATTGACATTTGGTGACATCTATACTGCAAAAATAACTGAAATTCGTGAGACTGGGGTGATGGTTACATTGTATTCCAGTATGGTACCAACGTTATTACCTAATTCGCAGTTAGATCAACGTAAAATTCATCATCCTGACGTACTAGGATTGAATGTCGGAGATGAAATAAAAGTGAAATATTTTGGACGAGATCCGGTGAATGGGCGCGTTAGATTATCTCGAAAAGTGTTGCAAGGCCCAATTATTTTTGAAAAAGATTTTAATATTATTAAAAGTTAATAGAAATAATAGTTTGAAATTTTATTTGTATTTTTTTTTTTTAGCAACCAAATGTAATAATCTTTTTACATATTAATAGTAATAATGATACAATAAGAAATTATTTTACGTAATTGTATTATGTAATTTAAGTTCTATCGATATTTTCATTAAATAATGTAAGTAATATTTTGTTACATAATTATTAAACGTATATTATTTATACATTGAATCGACTTCAAAAGTTGTTTACCTTTCTTCAACAATCATTTACAAATTGGTGGAAAGGTTTCGATTTTTCGACTATCATAAATGTGAAGATTGACAACCATCGATCAATTAACTGATATCTAACTCGTTTAAAGATAGATTTCATTTTTTCCCCATTTTTTAGATTAAAGTTACAAAGATAACTACATCGAAAGTGCTTTATAGGGAGGATATTAAAAATGATTTCTCGTTTTCTTTATCGTTACATTTTTAGGCGGACATCTAGCTTCGTTCTTGGTATTGTTATCGCCTCGGCATTTTTTGAAAGAGCTTATGACCACGCTTGTGAAAGTATTTTTGAATGGATAAACGAAGGAGTACGCTGTTAATTTTTTCTCTAACATTAACTGTAAAATATTGCTTAAATTATTGGAAACTATCATTTACACGTAAAAAGAATTCGGAAATAATCATATTCTATATAACATAATACAGGATTTATGTTTATCGATCGATAAGGTTATATGTAATTAATGATCCGTTAGCTTATTTCATATGATTCGTCTTGTCTCCACGTTGTATTTCCCAACTGCGTGATTAACTCTATTTTATATATTACTTTCATGTCTATTATCTCTTTCGCAGAGACTTTGGATGCACATAAAACACAACTATGAAAATTCACTACAAACACAGGCACAGAGTGATCGTAAAGGAGCTGTCGAGGAAGAAACGTTAGACTTACAGAAAGTACCTGATGAGAATGCGAGAGAAGACTGAATGTTTTATACAAGAAGGAAATTGTACGTTCGATAAATTATGAAAGACATTTTCTCCATGCAAATACCTGCTGCATATTCGAGTTGTTGAGTTTCACGAGCATTGTAATATTCGATATTTCCGTATCATAAATGTAATCTTGTTCAAAACAAAACAAAGATACGGGTAATTGATAATTCTTGGTTTTGTATTAATAAGGATTTATAATTTCTGAAAATTGCTCAGAATGAACGCTTTTTACTCTCGGAAACACTGGGTTTGTAGTTGTATGACACAGCCACAGAGTATATGATTATATCTGAGAAAGCATGCAGAATGAAAGCATCATGATAGCAAGCAAGGATCATGATACTCAAAGGTTCTAAATCTTTTACCTTTGCGAACATAATATATGTATAACGAATAGCACGTTATAAAATATGTTACTACTAAACGCGTAGAGAATGGATCTTTTGGTAGTAACTCAGACCGGGAAAACCCGTTTCATTATCAGTTTCTCGTTTACCTTGAAATTCACAAAACGTTCCTAAACATGATGGGAACGGAGGAAGAGAAAGGTAAAGAAGTTCAAGGAATCTTTAGAAAAATACATACGTATGTAAACGTTGGCGATTAAATAGCCTAATGTGATTTTCATATTATCGTGTAGTGATCTATATAACAGGAAAAGACCATTCTCTCCTACACAAATCTATGGATTATACAATGTATCTATGCTTATACACTGTATAAGTATTTTTGGAATTTAGATACGCGTATGATGAGTCAAGTGACATGTGTAAATGTAGATATATGTATATGTAATGTCGGGAAAATCCCGATGAACTACAGGCAAAAAACAATAAAAGTGATGACGGTTGGGAAAGTTAGGAAATCTTGATGGGCCATATACCCATACTCCTTTACGATACTAGCTAATTAAAAAAGTTGTTCTTGACCATGGGTCATCCACATTTGTGGAACACATGTGTGTGTTAGGAATACCAAGGCCGTGGTATAAAAAGCATCTGTTAGTCAGTTTCGGCTAGAGTAGAGTGGCAGGAGAGTTGTAGCTGGAATAGCGAATGAGTAGCGAGTGATTAGTGAGTGATTAGCGAGTGATTAGCGAGTGAGTTGCGGGTTAATCGTTATTCATGAGTTGTGGAGTCGTTGTAAGTTGTAAGTTGTAAGTTGCCGAGTTGTTGTGAGTTGCTAATTGTACGTTGTAAGTTGATTTGTTAATTATCAATTTAGTTGTCTTAGTTACTACTCTCTTAGTTACATTACTGCCTTAAGATCACGTTAAATAACCATCGTTTTCTGTTTAAATCATAAATAAATAACTCTGTAGAGATCACTAACCAGAGTGAAGTTTCTGCACATGTGTGTGTGTGTGTGTGTGGCAATTACGTAGTAAACTTCTAAACTTAGCAACTAATTTGTTAATTACATTATTGTAGAAACGGGAAGTAATTTAGTTATTGTCACTTGTCTTATTCAGATGGCATTATTTATTTCAGTTTAGCAAATGACGTTAAATTAGAACTTGTAGCTTCCTTCATTTTATCCATCAACCGATATAATATCAAAGAGTGAGGTCATCGTTGCAGACATAACAGAGAAGATAGTAGAGCAATATATAAGTAGTATAATTTCATTTATTGTTAGTAATATGTAAAGTAAATCTGGTCGATGAAAAAAGGAAAGAAATTATAGGGTGTCCTGGACGGTACATAAATATAAACGAAACTATAGTTTGATGATGTGATAATATTCGCGCGTATTCTTTCAAATAGCAAAGATTGTTACATCGCATTGTTCAGCTCTAGCTGAATTCAAAATATTCTTGTCATTTATTACATATTTTGTATTATAACGAAATCCTCTTAAAAAAACTTACGTAGTTACTTACGATTAGCAACCTATTTTCTATTGTACTTCAACATTATTTACCACGAATAGCGTATTCCTACTCTCTTAATATCCTTTATTCATTTTTAACAAGAAAAAGATTTCAATACATTGTTCCTGTACACGAGAGAAATGATCAAACATACATGTTTTACTTTCAGGAATCCTCCACGATGAAGCTGTCGATCGCCCTCTCGATAGTGTTAATTTTCTCGCCGCTGATTGTAGTTGGAAATATTATTGCGATCGACTACGAAACGATCGTGAATGAGATCTGCGAAAACGAAACTTTAACATTACAATTCAGTAGTTCTACAGATTTTAATGAAAACAGTATCATTTCTCCTACTCTAAAATGTATCGCCATAAAAGGTTACGTTTCTACATTCAAGAATGGAGTTTTCAAAAACGTGCCAAATTTGAAATTCCTTGACCTCAGTAATAATCAGATCTCTTCGGATGATTTATTCAATTTTGGTAATCTTTCAAACGTGAAAATACTAAATCTCTGTAATCAAAATGGCTACCGAAATTATAGAACAATAGTAGACAGCGTGTATCCTGAACTTGAATATTTGAATTTAAGAAATGCTGGAATAGAAGAGTTACAATCGTCATTGAGTAATCCATTTCCAAAACTGAAATATTTGGATCTATCAAAGAATCGAATCCATTCCAGACAGTCTTTGTCGATAAATATGTTCTCCACATTAACGCACCTTGATCTGAGTAGCAACAATATTGACCAATTTTCATTTACTCGAATGGAAAATCTGTTGTCGTTAACGTTAGATCATAACGCAATTCAGAATCTTGAGTCATCCATGGGTATTGATCTGACGGGGCTGGAAAAGCTGGAGAATCTGTCGCTAGCGTACAATAAGATCTCGTACATTGATAGTAGTGCAATTGAAACAATGCCCAACCTTCGGTATTTGAACTTTTCTGGCAATTCTTTATCGCTTTTTAATTTCGATATGTTTAAATCAGTGAAATCTTTAGACATTCTTGTACTAGATAGTAATTCGTTGGATAATGTTCCCATAACAGCGCCTCTAAACATAACTCAACTCTCGTTAAATCGTAACAATATACGTTATTTAGCGATTAACACCTTTTTCTATCTGCACAGCTTAAAAAAGCTATTTCTAAGCGAGAATAAAATCCAGAGCATCCAGGTGGACGCGTTTCAGAATCAAGTGCTGTTAGAAGAGCTGTATCTGAATGACAACCAATTAAGTTATTTACCAATAGGTTGGTGTGACTCTATGAAAATGTTGCGATATCTAAATTTGGCGGGGAATAAATTCGCTTTGTTGGAATCAGTGATTTACTCCTCCGATTTGCCCGTGCAACACTTACACTTTGAACGCAACCCTCTTACGTACATTAATGGTACTTTATCTCGACTGATACCAGTAAATATGACGATTTATTTAAACGTTAATGTATCATCTCGGAGTACGTCATATGTACGTGCAAGTGCAGGACCATTTGACATATAGCAGTGATAGATAGAGTGTAGTGTTGAGGTATAGATATCTACTACAGAACCATGTATTGAATGATTTGTAATCTAAGAAGTTGTGATTATTAAACGCCTCAGGTTTTACTCTATAAATAAACATATTGTAATTGCTTAATAAAAAGGCTCATTGTATATTGCTCTTTATTCTTGCCTCTTCTTTCTTCTCCTGACATGCAAAACTCGATCAAAATATCTTATCATACTGTTTCAACTTTTAATTAGGATTTTGCAATATGTCTAGGAAAGGGGAGAAATTATCTTTCGATATCTCTTCGAATTTAATCTATTATTGATATCTGTATTCGATATCTGTTCGAATTTCAACGATGCAATTACTCAAATCTTTGACGCTACGTAGATGTATCTATTGCTTTGACAATTATCATTTAATCGGTTAAAAGATGAGCGACAAATACATATTTTGCGAAAGTTATTCCTAGAATGTATAAAATCGGTCGAATTAGTTGGGGATGCAAGAAATAACGTGTACTTTGTTACAACTTGAAAGCATACCTTGTTCTGGATGTACAGTGATCATATTCACGAAAGATGACAGGAAGATCCCAAACAGGAAACGTTTGAAACGATAACGACGCTTTTTATAGACGATGTATTTATTATTTCCGATTATTTCGAATAAGCTGACGCAACTGTCAATCGATATAAGAGGAGGAGGCAGCTGCAAATTTGCAGTAATTTCTTGTTTGCAGCCAGAAGAAACAGAAGAAAGTTCGCATAATGGTACGCATTCAATCATTCTTTGTCGTTTTACATGTTATTTCTTAAGACAAATAACCATACATCAAAGTTACCTGTTTTCATTTGTCTCTGTTTACATCGACATGTTTCGATATGTAATGCAAAGTATCAGCGCAACATATCCTTGCTTATCGTTATCATAAATGTTTTCTATTTTTTTTTCCAGAAAACCATTATATTGTTGAGTACGATTATAAGCATTACAAAATCCATACCGAAAATAAGTTGGGAACAGGATGCGGATCGTATGTGGATCACGTATTATAACGCGATAAATAACAAGCAACATCTCGTCGCATGCTCTGAAGAAGAGAGCATTAATTTGCACGGACTGGGGTTAGAAAAGATCCCTAAAGATCTGGTGAAGAGCAAGACGATACAATCAATATCGTTACATAAAAATAGCATCCGAAAAGTATCAATAGATGCATTTGAGGAAGTTCCTCTTTTGAAGTGTCTAAATCTCGCTCATAACTACATTTCTTTCGATAATCTCGAGATAAAGCACGACAATTTGAAAACATTAATTATAGATTTTCAAGTAGCACCAGAAATGAACGATGTAATATCTGCGAGCAATGCAAAAATAAGGTGTCCTAACGTTGATACATTGTCCTGGAGAGGAATAACTCACGAATTTCCTCTTTTGTGGATAAACATGTTTCCAAAGTTAAAACATATTTATTTATCCGACAGTCATTACATACAATATATCAACGAAACTGCCATTTATTTACTGAATTTGAGAAGTCTATACTTAGAACGAAATTCGATCGATAAATTCATTATGAATAATCTTGGAAACATCGAGATATTGTATCTGGATGAGAATCCTCTTGAGGAATTTTGGATAAACCCAATTTACCAAAGATTAAGAATTTTATCGTTATCTAACTGTTCGTTGTTCGATTTGCCAGAGTTAAATATTCGATCCTTAGAATCGTTAGATTTATCTCATAATCAAATACGTGTTGTACCGATAGATGCGTTCCAATACAC